TACGGCACCAAGAATCCGCCGTAAAAGCAAACCTCGTGTAAAAAGTGCCGAAAAGTGAGAGGCGGCGGTTTCCATGGAGCCCCGGGGGGGGGGGGGGTGACGTGTGTGTGACGTCACGGCCGGTGTTGCCGTCAGCAGCAGTGACGGAGCTGACGGATCGCTGTCTGATCTCGTGCGCTCCACAGGGCTCTGCTTTGCACTGACATCCCATGTCAATAAAACCGGTAGTGCTGCGTCACCGGGGCCGTCTTGTCCCTCTCTTTGCGATTGCAATCCATTTCCTCTGCACCTTTGGCCCAACACGAAACATCGCTGCAAACGCAATGCATGTAAAGGAGAGGAAACGATGCTTCGACTGCGCGGAGTCTGGGACAGACCCCATCGGGAGGGAGTACCGCTTTCCGTTTTGGGCACCGCACCTCAGGCGGGTGTATTGGCTGCGGGGCGGGTGCAGCGCCGATTTACCAGAATGATACCAGGGCTTAAAAGGTTAAGTTATGTTGCATCAACTTGGCCTCTGTTCCCTTGAGTTCAGAAGGTTGAGGGGTGATCTGATTGAGGTTTTTAAAATAATAAAAAGGGATTCGATAGGGCAGCTACTACAGGGAAACTGTTTCCTCCAGTGGGGAATCCAGGAAAAGCGGCATCATCTTACAATTAGAGCGAGGCCATTTAGGAGTGAAATTAGGAGGCAGCTTTTCACCCAAAGATGGTAGAAATCTGGAACTCTCTCCCCCAAATGTTTAAGGATGCTGGATCCATTCACATTTTCAAGATTGAGGTGAATAGAAATTTGTGAGGTCCGGGTATCAAGGGATACGGGGCAAGGGTGGGTAATTGGTGTTGAGGTACAGATCAGCCCCGATCTTATAGAATGGCAGAACAGACTTAAGCGACTGAATGGCCTAATCATGTTTCTGTGTTTCTATTATAGCAACAGGCCTGCTGCCACTTGTTCATTTAGGACCACCCTACCCATTAAGGCTTTGGCTTCCAGTGTTAATAGGGCCCAAATGGGAGAAATCTGCCTCAGTAACTGGTCTGCTCTTCTACATCCTTCCAACGAGACCAGCTTCTCACCTTGAACGGCACCATTCTCTGCAATGAGGCAGGAAAAAAGAAAATTCCCTTGGATTCTCCTTCAGTGAGTGCAAAACTGAGGAATGTTTTCTCGAAAAGATGTGCTTTTCCTGATTTCAATCTTTTTTCCTTCAAAACACACTTAAGCTCTTTGGAGGTGTGAAATAATATCCACTGAACGATAATTTCTAGTTCTTGCCTAAGTACTGCAACTAAAAATGATCAACTATGATGGAGATTTTGTTGGCTTATGTCATGCTTTTATGTGTCAGCCTGTCTTAATCGGTAGCACTCTTGCCTCTGAGTTAGAAGATTGTGGGTTCATGCCCTACATTGGGACTTCAAATCATATAATCTAGGCTTAGATTCCAATGCAGTACTGGGGTGGTGTGGTGAGTAGGAGGTGCCATCCTTTGGATGAGATGTTAAACTAAAGTCATGGCACTACTCGAAAAGAGAAGGGAGGTTCTTCCAGTGTTGGGGCCAACAATCCTCCAAATAAAATTGGACATTCATTTTGCGGCAATTTGTGATTCATTGTTGTGTGCAGTTGGGCTGCTGTATTTTGCCTACAAATACAGTCACTAAACTTTACAGTAAATCATGTGAAGTGCTTTGGGATGTCCTTCTGATGTGAAAGCCTGTATGAAATGCTACGATTATTATTTGATTTTCATGTTCAACATAGGCGCTTCATTAGATTTGAACAGAGTACAGACACAGCTTCAGAAAGCAAGATATTGCATTAATACAATCAGGTGTCCAGCAGGTAATCTATACTTAATAACTAGACCCCAGGAAATACATCCCATTCCCTGCTCCATATTTCCACAGCAACCATCAGTCTTGTTATATGTGTAAAGCAGAAGATCTCTCTTCAAACAACGTAGGGAGCATTCTTCCTATCACTTGCTGCTGGAACGATTGCTATATTTCATATGGAGAGATTGATTTAGGTGGGAATAATTGACTGGAACCAACTAACACATTTTCTACTGACCTCAAAAGTAGTGTTACAGGTTAGCATAGCTAACATTCACGTGCCTATAATGAAACCATATTAACGATGTATCTATATGACCGTGCCTCCCATTCTCTCACCTTTCCTCCCTGTTTGGTTATCCTCTATGTCTTCAAAAAGTACAGTACTTTGAGATGTGAAAGACCTACACATATATATAATCCAAGTTGTTGTATATGAGCCACAAAGGACCTTTTGGTTCTGTCACATGAACACCTTTAAAGAATTCAGTCCTATAAACACAGACATACAAATATATTCAAACACTTGCCAGGTTTTAGATTAGATTACAAATGTTAGCTTGGCCCTCTGAAGTCATCTTCTGTTCTCTTCTTCCTGCTGTCCCAATCATCAGATTGTATCCCAGTCCAGTAGCACTGCAAAACTATTATTAATCATAATCATCATAATAATAATCCATGAATTTGAAATAGCTCCTTATCACATCATTAAAACATCTCAAAGAACTCCACAGGACTTTACTGTAAAGTGTAATGACTGTGGATTTTGTAGACAAACACTTTATCCCATTTACACATAATGTTGTCCCACAAACAACTATGAAAAGAATGACCAGTTTTGTCTAGGGAATTATCAGGCAGGAAACTGGGAGAGATTCCCTTCCCATTTTGAATATTGCCTGCATATCATATCCTTCAGTGTGGGGAGATGCAATAAATGGGAAGAGAAGAAAAAGCCTTCAAAGGAGAAGTCTGTTTCAGCAATCCCTTTTCTCTAAAGAACTTACACATAGGTACAGTTCATTGCTTTATAGAACGCCTTATCACGTCATTGAAACATCTCAAAACACTTCACAGGATATACTGTAAAATAGATTGACTATTTTGTAGGCGAAACACAGTAGACATTTTGCGCATAGCAAATGTTCCACAAACAGCCAATTTGACAATCACAGATTGACATGATGGGCTGAAAGGCCTTCTTCTGTACCATAAATATCCATATTTCTAGGATCTTCTCTCCCTATACACACTTTTTAGATGAAGCTACAGTGATCCGCTCTGACCTGTGTAATGTGAGTGTCTCTTTCAAGTATCCGTTTTCATTTCTTTATGACTTAGTTAACTGGAGACACCAGTCTGAGGTCAGCAAGTGAACGTGAAGAATAATGCTTTCAAATTGGTGGGGCCAACCTTAGTGAAATAACATATTTAGAGCAGGAAATAATCTATCTTCCTTTTAAATTATTGTACCGCACGTAATCTACATCACAGCGGTGTTTCCTGTGGGACATGAAAATAAATAGAGCAATAGAACTATACAGGGATTTTGTCATACATCTCACCATCAGGTCAGCACTGTACAGTTGCCTAGTGTGAAATTTAGTTTCTGTGATCAAGTGCATTTTGACCTGATTTTTCTGTTCCCGTTTCTTTTCATATCCATTACTGATGTTCACTCATTCACTTTCGATTGTAACCAAAATAGGACAGTGTGGCTCCCACAGGCAAATGGTATTTCTTGTGTGGAAGGGGGTTAGGAGGATAAAGCTGGTGTGCTGGGGTTCACTCCACAAATAATTGCAAGCACTTTCTCTCGGCCCTTGTCAAATCTGGCAATCTGGCTGCTGATTCCATTCCTCATTATGACAGAATTCCAGCAAGGCGACAAAGATTTGCATTTTGTTTGAAGGTTAAAACCTTTTCTAACCAAGTCATAATTGGGGGAAGAAGAAAGACTCTGCATGTGCATTCCTCCCACTACAACCACTGACCTTTACCTTAGAGCACGGTCTTTGCGAGACTTGAAAAAAAGATGAAAGATCACAGAATGAATCACAAATTAGCCTGTTGGATTGAAAAATGGTGTAGCGATAGGAGGCAGGTGATCAATGGAGAAAGCCCTGTTGGGGAGGGGGTAACAGTGACTTGTGGTATTCTACATGGGTTCTGTTCTGGGTCTCCTGCTGTTCATGCTATTCATAAATGACATGTATGGAGGAAAGCACTTCTTGGGATCAAACTTGTGTACTCCCACTCTATGGCACTATGTATTAATGTTATAATACTGCTGCTCTGAGGGTTTATCCATTTTCACTTTTTAATTATTCTCTCTGCTTCGGTTCCTGAATTTTAAAATGGTTTTATTCCCTATCCCAAGTGTTGTTGAATTTTACTTGAACAATCTCCAGATTTGCCTGCCGCTATGATTTTCCAAAATCTCTCGATTTCCAGTTTTAAAGTTTTCGTGCTCTGCGCAGCACTAAATATACAGATAACTGGTGAGAAATTCCACCTGGGTATAGATTTACTCTGTTTTGTAGCATTTTAAAGCATTCAAAATTTGGCAAATTCTTAAATACAGCCTTAAATTTGAAACCAGTTTTCTATTAAGAAATAAAGAAAGCAAACTTCATTGTTAAGATTCAATTCAGCAATTTATCAATTTCTGGGTGGTCTGAAATGCTAAATAGAGTCATTTAAGACCCAGGTGCAATTTTTTCCCAAATTCTGGTGTAATCTGTCAAACGCTTTTGGATGTTCCCCTGACATGTAATGCTGTATGTAAATTGTATTATATTGTGTCTTTTTCCTCTCCTCTAGTGCACAATTATAATTAAGAAAGAAGCTTTAAAAAAGCAAAGAGAGATTCAAGAAAACAGTACAGGTAAGAAGACAATAAATAATAACTATTCTTTGTATTGCTGGAATTTTCCCTGGGTTTTTGTCCAGAATTTACCCCCTTTTTTTGCAAAACACAGCAAAATTTCCAGGAAATTTACTGAAGAAAGAACCTAAACTATAACAGTCACTGAGAGCTAAGTATTTGCATATCATAAAGAAATGAATAACCACAGTGCAGTGAATAATGAGGTGAATGTTACGGTTTAGTAATTGTTTCACATCACACCAAACATGTAATGGCACAGCTAAGAGCA